GAAATTCATTTGAGGTTGCAAAAAAGTTTGGTTTGCTTATCTGTAAACTTGTGTTCTTTTTGCTTCTTGCCAAATACGGTGTAAAAGCAGCTTCTTTTTGGTGGTAATATCTAGTGTGTACTGGAACCTTGAGCAGCAGGATTCCATTTAAATTGAATGCTACAATAAAAAAGAAAAATGTTAACCACAGTTATTTTTTTTGAAACCCAGAAAGGCATAGCTTGGTGTTTATTTCAAACAACTGTTTCATTAAGTTCTTTTCTGTACCGTAGTAAGCTATCCACCCTATTTATACTAAGATCCTCTCCTGCACCAACTTTCATCTTTGTTCCAGCTTCATGATTCCTTTTGCCAAACTTGTTGTTGGTCCTGGTCACAGACATTGGTTTGGTAATTTGGGTTGGCTACAGAACATAGGTGGGGATGAATTGCAACACAGCTTGTTTTTCTGTCATTTCCCATTCTTGGCTTGTCACTTTCTTAACTCCTAGGTGTTAAATTGCTGATGAAACAGCAGCAATCTTCCAGTTAGAGAAGGGCAACATACATAAATTGGGGTGGCTGAGTTGCTCACAAGCCAAGTCCACAAGACGATTGCTGGATGGGGCCACAGTCTGAGAATTATTTTATGGTCCCTGAGGTTGAAAGGAGATATATGTAATTTAGTACAGGAAATGGATATTGTAAACAAAACAATCTTGTACATTGTAAAGATCTGGGGAGGTAGTCCCATAAACACCTGTTTCAGTCCGTGATGACAGCTGGTAGGGCTTTTGGGGTCAGCCTTTCCTCTGCAGCTGTGCTTGCATTCTTGAAGGAGGAACCAACTTCTTTTCACATCCTTAAGAAATTACTCTCCCTCACTGTTTGTGAAGCAGAATCAGAAACCATATATATCACAAAACATTTTTTTTAAGAAGGAGAGAGGCTAATGGGATTTGAAAAACATATAACATGATCGGCCTCACATCTGGAAAGGAACATAAAATAACTTATACTGTCAGGAAGATTTTTTATTTTCCATATGTTTTTTCAACTCCCAGGTAATATGAGGAAGGAGATACTTAATTATGTGATGGATTGCACAACTTAGTCCAGAGTTTAATATGGTATTTTTATGTAATATTATTAAAGGGACTTTAAATGTTTCATGTGTAAGCAATTTATATAAGAATATTCTGAAATAAACATCCTTGTTATCATGTAGTGTGACCAATAACACTTTTGAAACTTAGTTTTAAACACTCTTTAAATAATCAAAGATATTCATACTAGAAAAATATAGTTGCTTCACCCTTTTCTGTCTGTAATTCTTATACTTCTGTAAATGTGATTTGTAATTTGAAAACTTTATCTTCATTAAACATATGATATATGCTTTTTAGTGTGTATAAGAAACTGAAGAATCTGGGTGCAAGTACTGAATCAGTACATACATTCATTTTTTGTGGATTTATCCACACTCACACATGTGAGTGTTTCAAAAATTCAGTTTTAAGGAATTGACAATTAGTGTAGATTTCTGCTGCGACTCCATGAAATTCAGGGAGACTTGTAACAGTGTAATCTATCCTACAAAAGACACAGATTTTCCAGCTAACTGTATAGGGTAGCAAAACCAGATCTGTGTAAAAAAAGTCACCATTTTAGAGCCTTTTCATACTTGGTAGGAAGAGTAAATGGTTCCGATATGAAGCATGTTTCAGACCACGTGTGATAGATATCAAATCACTGTAACACTGTTGATGAAAATGTCACACTCCTTTCTCTAAAGAATTAAATAAGTGAAACCTATGAATTTGAATTACTTCTGTGTTACAGTAGTCTGGACCTGAGAGAGTTTCAAACCATACTTAGATATCCTCAGTTCAGCTGAAACACGGATACCCAACTTACTCTCTGGCTTTTTGTGATTCCATTCTCTATACTGTCACTTTTCAAAGGCTTTCAGAAGTACCCAGCTTTCTCTTTTGACAAGACACAAGGACTTAAATGGAGTGTAGGAAGTCCAAATATGGTGATTTTGATTGCATTTGCAGCATAGGAGCAGGACTTTAATTTATTTTTATTTTTCTACTCTGAAAGGAAGTATAAGATACTTGTGAAGATACAGACATATTTCTACGTAGCTATATCTACAACTAACATTTTCTCACTTTTCCAAGTTGTGACTGAAAAAGATGTGGCATCATATCTTTTCAGTGTGTCTTCATTTTTGAAAACCTCCTTTTGTTCATTATGTTTTGTATATAAACACAAATCTTAAAGGCTTTTAAGCTCTGATGAGTAAATTGAGTAAAATCTGCATAGTTTGACTTAAAATCTCTGCGAACAGAAAGAGATATATGTAGTTCCTGGGCAATATGGCATTATTTTGTTTTAAAACTGGTAAAGAAACAATTTTCATGTGAGATGTTGAGCAATCAAAGTCTGAGTTGTTTAGATTTTTTTTGGTTATATTATTTGGTTTTATTTTTGTGATGAACAGCTGGATAATTTTCAACAAAGGAAGTAAAAATAGTAATAGGAGCAGTTCGCTTACTCCTAAATAGGTCTTGGCAAGTGTACTTGCAGTTGATTCCTCTTGGGTGTTTCTACTGCACACAGTGGAATTGTAAGTACTGGGGAATAAACACTGTCTTCCTAGGCACTATATAAATTTGCTTCCCGGGTATTCTCAGCACCTTGATATTCAAGACCTGTTTGAACATAGCGTGTATGAGGCAGAGAAAGTAAGTAGAGACAAGAAATTAATTCTTTCACAGAAATTTTCACATGAGAAAGATATTGTTAGTTTGTCAGATTAGCATCTAGCCACAGAATACTTTCAGGTGTGCCACTGAAATCAGTGAGATGCTGTTCATTGTGGACAGCAGGGGTGGGCAGCCAGTACCCGGGCAGGCAGCAATGTTAGTGCCCAACACAGCTCTTGTCCCATGAGGAGGATCCTGGTCCTCTCCTGTGACCTGGGCTTTGGGACCACCTTCCCCAAAGCATTCGCCAGCAGCCACAAAATGACCCCCTCGTGGTGAGCCAGAGATGTGACCTGGTTTTGACTGTCATGCAGGTAAGTGAAATAATTACAGTGACAGTCACATTATCAAGGCACATCTGAGCTAATACCTTAATTACACAACTTCTTTATTTTTGTGTTCTCCCCTGAGGCTCATAGAATTCAGGACTATATCACAAAAGGTTTTCGTCTGGTTACAGCTGTGTCTTCTAGACTTGTGAAGAAATGGTGAAGTTCACCAACAAAATATTTGAGTGTGAACACCTAGCTTTGCTTCACATTTCTCAGCTTTCCTTCTCACAGGGTTCAGGCAAAGACTTTGAATTTTTTCACTTAGGAAAGGTTGTTCTTGAATTTGTATTCCTCAATATTGCAATCTGTGGGTGCTCTTTCTAATATGAGTGCCTTCCTCCAATTTAAGGTAACATTTCAGCAAAGATATCACACTTCAATAAAAGCTGATGTTCACAAGGTTACATTTCTCATCCAGACAAGCCCTTACTATTTTTAAGCAGAAGCAGCGATTCCACAGAGGAGTGTTTTCAGAGTAGGAATGATATTGTGTACAGACACGCACTGCCTCTTTCCAAGTTCTGATGCAGGGCTAAAGTGGAGTGTTTTTGGTCCCATTAGTTACCCATCTTCAAAGAACCATCCCAGAACAAGTCTATTATTTCCATCTGGAAAAGCACAAATCCAAAATTATTTCTCTAAATAAACACAACTCATCAGTTCCCTTTCTTTCAGGTCCCAGGTCCTTCTTTTGCTCTTTTTGGTGATTATTTTTTTCATGTGTCTATTCTTTGACATATGTACTCATTCATTTGTATTTGTAAGAAGTGGTGATAGGAAAAGAAGGATTCTGTGGTCTCTTGCACACACACAGGTTTCTAGGGTGGGGTTAAATTTAAGATTACAGCTCCTAAATGATCCGTTAGTGAATTAATAAGGTTTCAGTTGTTGTTTATTAGTATCAAAATGCTTGGACATAACATTTTGCAATTTTTCGTCTTTGTTATCTCAACTTAAACAAAAGGGGAAAGCTAGAAATCTCTCCGAAAGTGAATAGAGGTCCAAACAGCTACAAAAGTAAATGCCTGCCAGAATCACCAGTGCTGCATTGCTTTGCAAGGGACACCACACAATTAATGATGTCTGCCTGTTTGGTGTGAGAAATACATTGATTAGTTAAAAGCTCCCTTCCCTACCCCAACTCAGGCAGAAACAGCCTAAAACTCAAAGGAGGGCAACCAGAGAAGGTGCTTCTGAGGCAGTGGCCAGCCCTTTTCAGGTGGCTGGTGTAGGAGGAGAGGGAAGGCTGGGTCCCAGCTGCACTGGGCTGCAAGAATTTGGGGTGAGGAGGTTAATGACCTGACATTGCTGCCCTGCTACTCCATTGTACCAGGCCTTTGCAGAACCCTTGATGGAGAGCATCTTTCTTATAAACAGTTCCCTAGTCTCTTCCAAAACCTCAGTCTAATCCCAGCCCATCAGCTTTTGAATGAACTGAGCACTTTCTGTCCTAGTTAAGCCATAGGGTTTCTAGTTCCAGTCGATGTTCATTCAAAGTTTGTTTTTGTGGGGAAATAAAAAACATAGAAAAAGTTGTGAAAGGACGGAATGACTATTGTTGTTACAAATATTAAGTGAAATTAGTTATCTCTGTAATTTCTTCTGAAGTTCATGGCATCCCAGTTATGATAAATAAGGTTTCTTGGTTGTTGGGTACAACCTTTATTTCTGCAGTTATGCCAGACAACCTGTTGCTAAAGTTACTCAAGATGTCCTTTAAGCTGCTTATCGAGGAGACTTACTTTCTTGGAGATTTTGTATGAAAAAATAGTTCACTGCCACCTCACATTTATCATTTTCTTCAAAACTGATACTTCAGAACTTTACAAGTTTCAAGGGCCTTCAGTTTTAGACATAGAGTTTCATTTTTAACATTAAATTTTAATAATAATGGGTCACATTTTCTTTATAACAGGATTATTTTACAGATGAAAACAGAGTACTAAAAAAGGACCCTCAACAGGATTACCATCTGGAATATGCCATGGAAAACAGTACACATACCATATTGGCTTTTAGCAGAGATCTGCACACTTGTGACACAAACGACAAGAGCATAACGGTAAGAGACTCTGACTATATGTAGGCAGATGAAGTAATTTATACAGGTTAATTGTATATGTAGTTATTAAGCTGGTTATTAAAATCTCTTTTTAGTAAAAAGATAGAATTAGAGAAATTCACTTTCCAAAATATCTGTTTGCTCAACTTAAATTAACCAAGCAAAATTCTTGTGCTAGTTTTATTAAGCTGTTATATTTTCATTTCTGCTTTCTTTGTCCTTCTACTTTAATACATTATGTTCCTTAATTTCTAGTAAGAGTACAGAGGATTGAAACAGGTATCTCTGGGTCATCAAGTCCCAGATGCCACAGTTCCAATCATTCAAGATGCCAAACTAAGAAACACTTTTTAGATATTACACTAACTTGTAATTGATCTTAGAAACAGATTTTTAAAAAGTTTGGAGCAGACACATTTAAAGTGTCTATTTCTTTATTCAAAATTAAGAAGTTAAAGAATTTTATGGTAAAAGTTTCCCCGGTAAAATATTTTTCATGTTAAATTCTTGTGTTGCCCTAGGGACTGCTGTGCTATTTCCTAAGTGTAATTTTAAATTACATGAAGTTGATGACTTCTGTATTGGAAATGGCAGATAAGTTAGACAAATTTGCAAGGTGTTCTATGCTTTGGCTTGTTTAGTACTTATTTTGGAAACTGTAGTGTAAGAGTAAAACAGTATTTGCTTTATCTATGTTTTCATAACTTATGCAATAATAGCAACATGAGAGGCTGAAAGATGCAGGAAGCAAAGGAAGCAAACCACAGCTGTATAAACCACCAGTTTTCCAGGCAATCAATGGATCTCTGTTTTTCACACCTGCTCCAAATTCTGAGCATAATTTAACATTCTGAGACACTTCAGGATTTATTAGAGCACTTTGACTCAAGGGTGATTATTGCAACCTGAGAATAGTTTGCAGAGAACTGATCTGTGCAGTGACTCTAGAATGATTTTTAAAATGTAAATCTGTTCTGTATTTGGATGTCTATCTTCCCTAGTATGTAAAGACAGTATTTCACTGAAGGTATTCACATCTTCACAGATCTGAGCCTGGAAAAAATTTGGCAGGGAATCTCATTGGTGGCCAAATAAGTAATATCTCTAGAAAAATATTTATCATGCATTTAGTTGGATACCTCTTTATGAATCTGTTCTGCCATTTGCAGATAGGATTTCAATTCACAACATTAGGGAAAGAATTTCTCAGAGAAAGATTTAACTTCTGTGTATCTCCAGTGAACCCTATACATTATTAATTCTATAGGCAAAATTGTGTAAGTAGATGACTGCTCCTCTGGTATACATTGTCATTGTTCAAATACAGCTACATCTATGTCATACAATTGTAGGAAGTATGTGAACTATGTAAGGAAGATGCTGCTTCTATTCCTTATGGGCTTTTTGTTTGGTTTTGTTTTGTTTTTTTCAGGAGAGCACAGTGCGGGTAATCTGGGCCTACCACCACAAAGACATGGGAGAAGCGGGTCAAAATTATCATGGATCTAATCGTGGTACAAAGAGTCTCCGCTTGCTAAATCCTGAGAAAGAAGTCTTATCTGCCTCTCTGCCATACTTTGACTTGACAAACAAAGACGTAAGTTACTCCATGTTTTGAGTCTATGTGGAGATGGGAATAAAGTGGTAGCCAAAGCTTCGGGCTTACACAACAGGTAGTGTGACTTCTATATATAGATTAAATATAAGGAAGGAATTCTCCACTATGAGGTTGATGTAACAGGTTGCTCAGAGAAGCTGTGCATGTCTCATCCCTGCAAGTGTTCAAAGTCAGGCTGGATGGGACTTTGAGCAACCTGTTTTAGTGGAAGGTGTCCCTGCCCATGGTGAGGGGATTGACATAGGGTGGGATAGATGGTCTCTAAGGTCCCTTCCAAGCCAGACCATTCTGTGATTCTATGATAGTATTGTGTTCTTGCCCTTTTTATTAAGACAGGTGCCTGTACCAGACAAGGATACAACATACTGGTGCCAAATGTTTAAGATTCCCATACAACATGAAAAGCATCACGTGACAAAGGTGAGTGATTCAGACTAACCAAATTTAGAGGAACTCAGATAATAATTACACTTCAAATCAATTCTTGCACTTTGAAATTTTTTTTACTGCTTACTGGAGGGAAAAATAAGACCTCTTCTCTGTTTTCACAAACATGGATCAAGTGTATGTGTATGTGTGCCCAGGACCTGATTCAGGTGTGCACCGACAACTGCATGTACAAGGACAGAGCCCCTTTCTTTCTGTTCTTTTCTCTTCTCCTTTGTCCTCTCTCCTTTAAGAAAATGAGGTTGAAAATTATTTTTGTCTGTAAATATTTCTGGCAAAGACTAAGTAAAAAACCATGTTACATCAGGTTTCTACTTTTATACAAGGATTTAATGAATTGCTTTTAACAGATGGTAATTTTAGATTAAAAAATAATTAAATGGTGATGTTTGTTCAAATAAAGGGTTCTTATCTGATTCCAGTCACCTCTCTTGCGATGGCCATTGTGGAGTTATGCCACGTTATGTCACATAAGCAAAGACACCGTTATCTTCAGCCAAATATTATGAAAAAAGAGGTGGATGTTGTAGTTTATTTAAAAATTAGTGAAAATGTGTGTGTAAACATTCACACAAGACTCAGAAGAATCCTAGGTGATTTTAAAACCCCCATGCATAAACATGTTTTTATATAACACATTTTCTAACTTTTCTTCCAGTTTGAAATTGAAAGCTTAGGGGTGCTGAGCAAAAGATAGTGCTCACAGTTCTTCCCAAGAGCAACGTACTGAAGACCTCACAAAAGAACAACTTCTTACTGTTCTAAAAGTCGTAATATAGCACAGTGATATAGTTCTGGCCCTCGGTTTTATTTTTCTTTAAACTCTTAAGTGCTTTAATTATACAATTCTATTCCATTTTTTTATTATTGTCAGTCATATTTCTCCAATGCTCTCAGTAAGACTGAAACTTTACCTCAGACAACATATGATCTCCAGTGTAAGTCTGATATATACCTATAATGATTCTGAAATTTTGGGGATTTCTGTACTTATCAGAATGAACAATTGCAAGGCCCAAATTTCTGCTTTCAGGTACTTGATCTTTAATCACATTTGAAATTTATGACAGCTACTTTCACAGATCTTTATGAAAAGAAGACTTGCTTGTATTATGGTGTTTATGTCAAGATTCCTAATTTTCTGCTTTCAAGTGAGAGTTTTAAATGGTAGGATTAGAATTCAAGCTTTCCATGTTAAATTTGGTGGAAGGTGTAGATACACGCTGTTCTGCTAAAAGGTTCTCTGGAATATATTTTCTAAATGTTTTACCTGACTGCACATACAGTTGCTCAGTTTTTAAAAAATTGTGATTGGTTGAAGCTAAAACAAAATTTTAGCTCAGAAATACACTGACTAATTTTTCAGAATAGTTTTATATTTTTTTTATTTTTACAATGTATAAAAAATATTAAAATTTTAGAGATAATATTTTCAGAAAAGCATTTTTTTTTTAAATAAAATTGAAAATTAGAGTATAATCCTTAGTGATTTTCCATCTTCAAAAAACCAAGAAAATTTCATGTTACTGCTTTAAAAACGTTTAGAGAGAGAAAAACTAATACAGAAAGAGAGTAGAACTATGTAGGAACACTTCCCTAACCTTTCTTTTCAGGGTCATAACTTATATTTTCATATAGTGACTTTTTTTAGATGACACATAGAGGGTTGCTGTGGAATTGTATCTATGTGCTCTTGCAAACTGATTAAACATTTCCTAAAGCCTACTGATACACAAAGGATGGGGCTTATGGCTACTCAGGAAGACATTAGCTATGCAAACAAAGATTGAATTTCACAAAGGGGAGGACAGATGAACTATTTGGCCTGATCAAACTGTCTGTGTTAGTTAAATACTTTTGTAGATGTTGATTCTGGATTCATTCTGTAACACAGCTTTCATACAAATCTACACATCTCATTTTTACACACAGAAAAAAAAGGTTTAGAAATGGTACAAATTTGTCTCTGGTATGATTTATTCTACTTCAGTAGTGTACATGTGAACTGGCTTTTGCCATTTCTGTCCTCTTGTATGATTTTGTGGAACACTGAAGTGCACAGCTCAGTGCATGTTGGACAACCTGTGCCACCAAAAATGTGTGCTTAGCTGTGCTGATATGTAAATCTGCTGATAATCTGGAGTCTCAAGTGGGTGCAACAGCGACAATAGGATTTTTTTTTTTCATATGTTCAGCTCTTCTCTGTCATTCTTTCCTTCTTGAAAATTGCTCTGAGCATTTTATAATAAACTGGGTTTTTTTAAAAAAAAATCAGTTTCATCAGGAAAGCATGATGTTTTAATGAAGGAAACGGAAAAAAATCAGACCTGTCATTAAATGTAGAGGACAAGACTTTTAATTGTTTCTGGTTAACAAATGCCAGGTTCTGAATTCAGATTCTGAATGTAAAAGGATTACTTAATTTCTATTGACTGCATTGTTTTTAAAAAGAGTGACTATATCCTCTTAACCAGAATATATTTAAGGTATTTACAAATATATTTCGTAGATACAATCTGGTGGTGCAACAGATGGGTGACTGATAACACTTGGACTTAGGCTTCATCTACTCTAGAGTTTTAGTTTCTTCTGTTAGCACAAGACAAAGAAATAACTAGCATAAGAGATCTCAAATTTAGTCAAAAGTAAATTATGTAGAACCTTAGGTCTTTTCTTTCTCTTTACATAATAGTCATGTTGCTTTCTGGGAATCCCAGGTAATGAGAAAGAGCATATTTTCATTGATCAAGCATGCACCATGACATGTAAATCGTGAAAGAGATAAGACTGTAATCTTGTGTTTGTCTCGTAGGTAGAATAAGGACATGAATAAGTGATTTAGTAATTTCTCCTTGTGCTGCATTTACCAATGGAGAACAGAGCTTCACTGCAATAAGGGGGCACCCAGCCAGGGTTAGGACTTCTCTGTCAAATCTTCCTTTGCTTCACATCTCTTGCAACTTTTTCCCTAGGGAAGAGATTGTGTCTTCCTACATGTCCCTACAAAGCCTTCCATTACAAGATCTTTCGTAATGCCTCCAGGAACTTCTGGAGAGATAACTCATAATAACATTATACCTGCTAAGAAATAAAACAGAATAAAAAATTTCTCAATAGCTGGGCATAACAGTGATAATAATTACCCATATCACAACCAAAACCAGGCACTGAGCTGGTTTTGTGACTAATGGTGTACATCACTCCTCAGTTCAAGCGGTCCACCCAGCTGAATTGTGGCTGTTTGAAAATTTGTTAAACTTCTACAGATTTTCCCTCCTGTGTGTTTTCTGATAGCAGAATCAATTACAGGGGAAATAGGTAAATTTTGAAAACAATAATAAGCAAAACAGATGAAAGGACTTAGTTGGAGGTAATAGCAGGCAACTATCTTTCTTCAAAACACCTATTTGCAGGATGGCTCTGCAGTGGTCCTGGAGTGGTGGACCTTGGTTGCTATTCACATGGGAGAGCACATGGCTGCCTGCCTGCAAGCTCCTCCTGCAGCGATGTGTGCATTGGCCTGTTTGGCTGCTTTGAGCTTCAAGCTGTGGTATGTGCCTCAGGCTTACTACCCAAGGGATTTTTACTTTTCTCACATACTGAAATTAGCTGAGAGCCTTCTCAGAAGTAGCTTTCTTAGAAAAAAGCATTCCATTTCTTAGCCCAGACTTTCCAGAGATGGGTTTAAGACTATGTCTTGCTAAGATTTTTGCAGTTCTCTGTAAATATAATTATTCTGACTGGTCCTGAATGTGCCTCTTAAAAGAAAGTTCTCTGGTTTCACTGATTACACCTTGGGAAGGACCTCCGATCCAGCAGGACCTGTCAGAGGGAGGGAGACAGAGACCCACTGGTAGAACAGACACACAGGCATGTCCATGCACCCACCTTTGCATGAAAACACCATGCTGAGGACAGCTCCTTGACTGTGGAGAGCCCACACAGGCAGAGACACTGAACGCCAGGGTTGGGAGAGGGGCTGGCAGAGACAGCTAATCCTGGGGAGCACACCCTGAAAAGGGGAGTCTCTACAGCACCCTCCCTCTTGTAAATTACCTGTTTTTAAAGTCTCTTTCTTACTACTTTTTCAGGTAAAAAAAAAAGTTATTCAGTGGCAGCACACTGGAAAACTTCCAAAATCCTCTCATGTTTGTACTGTTGAGACGTCTGATTTTCATGATTTTCAGTGTGTGTGGATAAATGTGCGCTGACACATCTCTTTCTATTTTGATAGGCTACAAGTCTATTTGCCGACAACTGGGTTTTTTCTGTCTATTTGCTGAATTTATATTTTGCTCATTGTGAGGTGGCATCATGCAGATATTTACCATTAGCAAGAAAGAGAAAATTTGTTTTACATCTGTGAGAAATGCTTCTCAGTGTTCCAGTAAATACTGTTTTTGCTTTATGTTCAGAGCTTGTTCTTACTGCTTTTTCTACTCATGTTTCTATAGATACAACTCTTCTTTATTACTGTCTTTAGCTTAGGTTTCAATACTCCATGTCTTTTGTTACTTAATGTAATTGTACTGCTTATTAAAACAACTGCATCTGCTAAAGATTCATTATTCTGGCTTCACATTAACCACAGGTCTCCCATGTGCTTGACTATTTTTTCCACTGCAATTAAGAAACTTTAAGATAGCATTTCCTCTATTGTCTCCAGATTTTCTGTGAATCCTCTAGACCTGTGGTCTCCCACTCCACCTGACAAATTATTTAATTCTGTGTGTAAACCGAAAATTTACAACATATACTAGTGAAGGAATAGTATGTTTATCCTACATGCCAGACATGCCATCATGAATTTGTGAGAAGCTTTTCGGCTTCAGTGCATAACAAGTCTGTGCTAGTTTCAACATTGTAAATTTTCTCTCCATGTTTTCTTAATTCCTTTGAAATACACTGTGTTTTCCTTAGAAAAAGTAGTTCCCCAGGGTTCATTAGTAATAATCCTGTAGTGAAAAATATGT